GGGAGGGGAGCCCGCGGACCGGGGCTTAGCATATCAGGGCCTGACTCAGGAGGGTGGGGGAGGTTTAGGTTGGCAACTTTCGAGGGTATCAGTGGCTCGGCTAAGTGCGCGGTGTTTCGTTTGACGGGGTGGGACTTCCCGGGCAGTGGCGTGGGGGAGCACGGAGTGGGAGTGGGGACATCTACCTGTACCGAGGATGCCGCCAGGAGGGTGGGCCTTGCCCGGCCGGGTTGGCGGAGGAAAGGTAACCAGCTTTGCTTCTACCTAGACCGCTGGAGAGTCGCAGTGTCTTGCCGAGGCCGAGGTCCGCGCTGTACTTACCTACTGATCAGTAGCGGCTAGCGCCCCTTCGCTGTCGCAGGTCGCAGGACGCGTCGCGTAGTCAGTGCTGAGTGTGCGTCCAGAGCTGGTGTGCCGAGCGTGGAGATTCCCGTGCTGCTCAACTCAAAGCGTGCGCGCCCCGATGTCCGAGTCCATGGAGTGCCTGGTGCAGTTGCCGGACGACGTGCTGGTGATGGTGCTGCAGCGTGTGAACCATGCGGACCTCCTCGCCTGCCGCCTCGTGTGCAGGAGGCTGGGCGACCTCGCGCTTCACCGCGAGGTGTGGCGCCACCGACGTTTCAGCACCAACTTCAAGCACGCCAGCGCGCTGCTGCGGCTGGCCCCGTGCGCGGGCTATGTGCGCGTCACGCGTCACGACCCGGCCGCCTGCAAGACTTTGCTCTCGACCAGGTGCGCCGTGAGGAGACTGGCGTTGCTGGAAACAGATAGGTGCTGGGCCGGGGAGTTGCAGAGCGCTCTGATGATCCGCAACCAGGAGGCGCTCGGGCGCCTTCGCGACGTGGAGATTGTGTTCCGCTCCCCGCTGTCCGAGGCCGACACCCTGATGAGGACGCTGGCGCAGTGTTGCGACCTGGAGTCTCTCACCTTCACCGACTACACACCCAAGACAGTGTGCCCCGTCGTGGACGGGAGCGCGAGGCCGTCCCTGCGTGTGTTCAAGTGCGAGCTCACCCGCAACTCGGCGCCCTTCGTGGACACCGTGCTTGGCGCCCACGCCAGCAGCCTAGAGGACGTCGACATGAGCCCGGTGCACTCCGGGAGGTACGGGCGCTACCACGAGTGGGAGTCGGACTCGACGGCGCGCCTGTTGGCCGGCATGCCGAGACTCCAGAAACTGAGGTGCGTCGTGCTCCCCGGGCTGGAGGCCGTGGCGGCCTGCAAGACGCTCGACTTCTTGAGCCTCTCCATGTACCCCGAAGAGCAGGACGTCGTCGGCGAGGCGTCGAGGCTGCTGCGCCGCGCAGATCAACTGCGCACGCTCTTCCTGACATTCCTCCCCTACGATGACTACAGAGAGATCGACTTCTGCGCCGAGCTGATGGGGGCGCTGTCCTCATCCGGGCGGTCGCTCGTGACGTGGCTGCACCTCGACGGCTGCCCGTGCCCGCCTCTGCAGCCGCTGGCCCGGGCGCTGCCCTCGCTGTCCGCCCTGAAGCAGCTGACCCTGACCGGCTGCGACACCCTGAGGGACCCCGACCTACTGCTGGCCATCACCCCCACTACCGCGCCGGCCCTGCGGCTGCTCGAGCTGGAGCTGTACGCGGACATTATGGACGAGGAACGGGAATGTGCCCACGCAAGTGTGCACAGCAACGAGATCGAGACTGTTCTCACGCTGAACCCGTCGCTGCACATCGTGTTCGAGTACTGCTTCGCCTGCAAGAGGGACTGCTGTATCGAGTGTACGGAGGGATGCCACCCAGAGATCGAGACGGAAAGGGGGTGGGAGAGTAGTCTTGGTCTTTTCTCGCATGATTTGGACAAGTGCCCTTCTCCAGAGGCTCACGCTGAAAACCCTAAATGGCCAGGCTCTGAACGGCCAGGCTCTGAGATCCAGATACGATAAGAAAATGCTTTGTTTTCGTAATTGTGAGTTTTAAGTTATTATATAATTCTAAATGTTATTAGCGTTGTTTGCTCATTTCGTTATAAATTTAAATATAAACAAATCAATAAATCATTGTGCTTCCAGAAATACACTTCTTTTCTTTTACATTACATCCTTCGTACGCGCCCTCTTCACCTCACTTCCCGCTTCCCGGCGGCACCGCGGCCCAGCCTATATAGGCAACCTATTGCACGCAACCGCACCCTGCCAGCAGCCACAGCAGCTGACATCGGCCATCAGCTGCAACGAGAACGAGAGTGGTCTTCAGACTCTCATTCAGAGCTCAGAAAAGCCGGAAAGGTAAGGTGGGCTGGGCAAGATTGGAGATGCTTAAGAAAGCCGCCAGGAAGCTGCGTTTCATTTAATTTTTATTTAATTTTTAGTTTCGCTTAAAAGCGTAAGATAGATGAGCAAGATCGGCGACAGCTCGGAGGTTAGGTCAGATACGTACATGTATGTTTTCTACATAGCACCAGATTGCATTGCCAGATAATTTAGGGGTCATCAAAGCCACATGTGTACGACCCTTTAAAAAATCCATTGTTTTTCCTGCCTTTCTGCTCAGTAAACCACACTAACCTCAGTAACCACTGCTCTCCTCCTCTCCCCTCCTAATCCCAACCTTTTTAAAAACATAGATATTTCTCTATTATGTAGATCAAATTCACAAATGAATATGATGGGAGGAGGAAAAAAATGAACCAATTTGTTCCGGAAAATTCCCAAATAGCTTCTAATGTCAAGAAAGGTGAAGGTTGCCCTAATGTCAAGAAAAGTAAAGGTTGCGCTGTTAGACAAAAATATTTGAGATTTGGTTGCAGTGCTCTTTTGAGTTGTTGATGTTCATTTTGTTATAAGGAAATCCAGTGGGAATGTATCAGAACATAGTGTGTGTGTCTTAAAATTGAAATGCTGAATGTCATGACGGGTTCTGAATGGTTTGTCATCAAGTACGTGAAAAATTCTTCTAAAAAATCAGGAAAAACTGCCTTTCTTTAAATTGTAGTAAAAAGCAAAATAAGCTGGTTAAAAAGATAATATATTGAAACTAAATTTTGATTTGTTGTTAGCATGTTGAGTCCCAGGGACATTGCGTAAGGTGTCTTTCCCAGTAATGCAACGCGTTAATATTGTTTACCTTTCTATTTTATTGTTTTACCATAATATTATGTCCAGCTCGAGTACCTTATCATTGTCCAACATATTTCCCGTAAAATTTAATCCAAAGTATATTAAATAGGAAACCAAAGATCTAAGGAGTACCCATCATCACATGTTACTTCTCATACTCCATTAATGTATGTCTACCACTGTGTTTCCAGCAATGGCAACACCGAAACGTCATGTCGACGAAGAAATGGATACGACGCCGAAACGACGTCGTTTCGATGTGGCCCTGGAGAACGACATTGCTAATGTACCGGACATCCTCCTGGTGATGGTGCTGGCGCACTTGGACGTGGCCGACCTCCTCAACTGCCGCGTCGTGTGCAAGAGGCTCCTGCGTCTCGTCGCCGACCGGGATGTGTGGCGGCACCGGATCCTGTGCAATGGATACAGAGCCAATGCGAACGCGTTGCTGCACCTGGCTCCGTGCCTAAAGGAATTGTTCATTCTCGGCGACACCTTGTCGTTGACAACGACCAAGTGCGCTGTAGAAGAATTGCATCTGCATATCAGTTTCGCAGCAAACGAGTTGCACCAGCCGGTCGTCACCTCTGCCGAGCTCGCTCTGGTGGTCCGCGTCCAGGAGGCACTGGGGCGACTCAAGCGCCTTCATCTGCGCTGTTCCCGTCAGCTGGCCGACGGCGACGTGCTGCTGAGGACACTGGCGGCGAACTCCGACCTGGAGTCGCTTGAACTGCTCGGCCTAGCGCCCTTCGCCAACCAACCCGTCCTGCAGGGGCCGACAAGATCGTCGTTGAAGCGCTTTCAGTGTATACTCACCCAGAACTCGGAGTCCTTTGTGACTACCGTGCTCGCCGGGCATGCTGCCACCCTAGAGACCATCGACCTTGGCGTGCCTAGCCACAAATACCGGGCCTACGCAGGGGGCACAGTCGACACGACGACGGCTCGCCTGCTGGGCGCCATGCCCAATCTCCAAGAACTCAGGTGCGGGTTGGTCCCCGGGCTGGAGTCGCTGGCGACGAGCGAGACCCTCAAGGTCTTGCGTCTCATCGTGCACACGTTCGAGCGGCGTGCCATCGAGGGGGCTGCCGAGACGCTTCGCGGAGCCAGCCAGCTGCGCACCGTGAGCCTGGACTACTCGTATACGAACGGAAACGAAGACCGGGCCTCCGAGGTCGGCGTGAAGCTCATCGATGCCCTGGGCTCGTCCCGGCGCCGGTCCCAGGTGGAGTGGCTGTCCCTGAACGCGCCACCCCAGGTGTGGCCTCTGCTTAGAGCGCTGCCCTCGCTCGCGGCCCTGCGCGTGCTCAGCGTGCACATGTCCCTCGACGACGAGGTGCTGCTGCCGAGGATCACGCCCGACACGGCCCCCGGCCTGCGGGTGCTGGTGCTCCATTCCAACTCTGAAGATTCTAACCTCCTGGCGGAGTGCACGCACCAGTGGATGCACGAGGAGAGAGTCACTGCGGCTGTCCTGCGCAACCCCTCGCTCCACATCCTGGCCTGGGAGAGCTTCCAGTGCGGGGACGACGACTGTGTGGCGTGCACGCAGGGCTGTCACCAAGAAGAAGTGGTCTGGGGGCAGACACTCGGCCTCACCTCGCACGACCTGGAGGAATGTCCTTCCCCAGAGCACCACGACGATGAACCTGGCGGTTGGAAGTGCTCGTGGGTCCTAATTCGAGAGAATCCTGCCTAATAATGTTACCTCTATTGTTGAAGAGATGTTGTACTTATGGATATTTTTGAGTAGGGTCTCGATGCATGTATACTTTGCACCCACTCGTCCATATTTTCGTGCCCCACAAGCACCTGTTTTTTTGTTGCTGTGTTTCGCATCTTGTTAGGGAGGAAGTTAATAAGATGTCATATATTTTTTCTTTTGGTTACGGGTTTATAGTGTCGGTCTGCCACGCATCTCAAGTGCCTTATTTGTGTTGTGTATTCCTGTCGTTTATTAGGAAGTGAATTATAGTGTGGTGCATCGTGTCAATGTGATTTTCATTTCTACTCACCTTCAAACTTATCGACCAGTTAAACAATATCCAACAAATGCCGCGAAACGGTAGAGACAAGGTGGGAGAAACAAAGTTACACGTGTTGTAATGTTAGCAGTTAAGACTATCAAATTGAACGGGGAAGAAAAGGGAAGGGGGATTTGGGGAAGAGGGGGGGGGGGCGAACATGTGCTGTTTGGAAACTACATAGCACCCTGTGCGGTTATTCCTATATCAGATGAGCAAGCTAAGCCCCTCGACAGCTCCGAGGCTGCCGCACAAGATGGTTCTTGACCTGCAAGCGCTTGGGAATCTTTCTGCTTTTCTTGGATTTCCCGCGCGCGCACGGAAACCCAACCCTCAGTAAACAAGGAAGAACATCAGTGCGCTCTGCGCAGGTAAAGAGGGG